TCAAAAGCACAACTTCTTTTTCTGCATTTTTTACAACAAAAACCATATTAAGAGTGTATTCAATACAAAAAAATGTTTAAACAAAATAAACCAAATTATGGAAGAAAAATTTAAGTAATTTACCCGATGGTACTTCTCATCTTCTTCCCGATCTATGTAAGCCAAAAGATCATCTTGTCTCATTAAAGCCTCATGTAAAGCCTGAGAGAAAGAGAGCTTGAAGTTAATATACTAAGACATTTGCTTTTAACATCAATGGAAATTTTTTTTTGTCATCACCTTTTTTGTTGCGATTAGCTCTGCTTCAAGAGCATCCACGCGATAAACAGCGGTATTAAGCAACTCTTCTTTCTCACGAGGCATCTCATGCCGCTTCGAGTGCAATGTTTCCACTTGTTTCTCAAGATCTCCTAGTCTGTTTACAACAGAAGACATCAGATTTTTCTCTCTGACAGTTGAAAAAACCGGTGAAGGAGGACGAGACTCTCTAGCGATTGGTTCGTCAACCGAAGATTCAGACTGGGAATGTCCTTTGCTCTGTGGGAGAGCCACAGACATGAGAAACGTAAGCATGTTTACAAACAACGCGGTTAGCCACATCAAGATATGACTAACCGGTCCTATTTTGCTCAAACCGGGTGCATACTCGGAACCTGCACAAACACATTCCGTTGCAGTGAAACTTTGCATTGATCTGATTTGTGATTTACATTATTTTAGTATTTGGTTTCAACTCTGTTTACCTTCTGAAGTCTTTGGCTTTTCATGAGCCATCCAAGCAACATCTACAACTTTGTCCACCATGGGTGAGTCGTACTCGGATGAATCAGTAGGATATGATATACCATTGGTCCTAATCTGAAAGTAAAGGTCAGGTAACTAAGTAAAGTAGGATACTGTGATTTCACTTTCGTACAAGAAAACTCTTACATCTTCACAAACAGGAGTCAGCTTCGGAACACGATTCTCCTTGTTTGCTTGTGGAGAAGCCATCTCTTCCAATTCAGAACTTGATTCCGCTGTTGAGGTGTCACTAGCTTTTATCTGAGCCAAGAGTACCATACTGTTAGTTTGTTAAATACAAATACTATGTTAACAAATTATGAAAAAACAAGTTTCGCATCTAAGTCCAGAAGAATCTTACCCCAGAAAAAGATGGCTTATCGCATGAACGCTCACTGTTTAGAATCGATGCATGCCTGCAGAGGGATCCACCACTTTGAACCATCTACATGTGGGGAGATCAGTTAGGTAATAGTATTACCTATTTTGTGTTAGTCTGATTAACCAAACACACAGTAAACAATAACTTGTGGAAAATTGATTTACATTTAATATCTCTGGGTCGTTCCAGGGACCTTTATCAGATCTCACACAACCACCTTGATCTGCACAAGTGCAAGTGCCACCAAGAAAATCTGGTAGCTGACTGAACAAGTTCCGACAAGTTCAAAATACGGTTAGGGAGTTAAATCGTATTTTGGACTCAAGAGAACCAAACAAGAAAAGGGAAACTAAGGACTGAAAATTTCTCTACCTTGCATCTATTATCTCAAGTAATTTGTTCTGGTACTTGTTACCAACAACCTATTAGAAGAACACATTGACACCAGTTGATGACACACGATTAAAATAATCCTTCGTATAAGTTATACGGTATAACATGTGGAAATGAGGATAGATGCGTAGAAAGAACAGGTGAACTTACATGAATCTTTGTGACTGTTTTTGGATCAAGAAATGATTTCACAGTACCCCAAAGCAGCTTAAAACCATGACCAGCATTGATGATATACATGCGATGAAGTGTCTGCAAACATGTTAAATGTCATATCACGTCTTTTATAATCAAACCAAGCAGAAGAAAACACACAGTTTGTTAAAAAAGTTTATAGGAGCCACAGCTCATACCTCAGGGTAGTTATCGTTATCAATCTTTTGCAGCTGGATTATGAGATCCCTCGCAGGCTTAGAAAAATTCTTCAACCCCTGCAAAAACGTTAAATTTATGAAAATTCTAAGTAAGAAGATGCAGGACAAAAGATTATTGGAATCTAGTTTGTATGTACCACGCCTTGGACGTCTAGAATCGTTGTGCTAGAATCAATGTGTCTCTTAGCAGCAATGCAGCAAGCTGGTAACTTGATAGTAATAGTTTTCTCAAACTCTCGAACATGATACCTTATGTATCTTTCCAATGTAGTGACTTGCATTAGTTTCGCCGCATCGACTTTCCCTAATCTCTCAATGTAAACAGGTCTTCCTTCTTTATCAACACCATGATAACCATGAGGGTAGTATTTCAACACTTCATCTAACTCTTCAAACTCAAAATCCTCGAAAATTGTGTCTGTACCAAACTCTCTTCTCCATTGAATCATGTTACTCCACATTAACTTAGTTTTCACAAGATCAAACTTCCTAGCTTTCAAGAATCTACAGAGATACAATAACAAGATTCCTCCACCATCATCATCTCTGCAACAAAGGAATCATCATATATATAGAGAGAGAGAAGAATCATCATCACCTCAACATTATGTGATAATCATCAAGCTTAGGAGGTAACAAATTCTCGGAGATTAGCGAGTTTCGGAACTCATCGACAGCTCGTAATTCTTCGACATCGTGAATGTCTTCAATTGTAAGAGAGAAATTCCGATCAGTG